AGGTGGGCTCACCCCGCATCCCCTGAACACTGCACTGATTATATTGCTAACGAATAGGTGAACGCCGTGGTCTCCCTGAGGTCAGTTTTAGTGCTGGAGCCCCCCCACAACCCCTCCCAAAGTGTGTGGGGGCGCCCCGAGCGGGCGCTGCAGGTCCCGGGGAGGGGCCCGAGCCAGTCCTGGTGTCAGCTGCCCCCCCGCCCCCCTCCACCCGGCCTGGCCGTCACTCCTGGGGTGCACAGAGGGGCTGGCTCAGCCCGATCGCCCGGGTGGGGGCTCCGGGGCCCCTCGTGACCCCCCCCTTTGCACCGGGTGCAGGGGGGGGACAGACATCCGGGAAGCCGTGGGGACGGGGCCTGGAAAGCTGAGGCTGTGGGGGGACAGGCAGGCAGACTCACAAGCACTGGGGACAGCCTGGGGGGAAGCGGGGTGGGCGCAGGCAGGAGGCCAGTGTGTGTGTGGGGGGGGAATCTGGCTCAGGGGGGAACCCCAGCCTGCTGTTGTCAGACACGGGGTTCAGGAGGAGACAGGCCAGGAGCCTGCACAGAGATGGTCACTCCGGCCCCACCCCACAGGCGTGGGGAAGAGATAAATACCAGTCCAGTTGGGGGGGGGCTGGCAGGGCTGGGGGGGGCGGCTACTGCGCCGGACTCATCCGGGCTGCCAGGCCCTGGGCCCCCACCAGGCTCTCCTCCGAGGAAACCCAAGGGAAGGGAAAGAGACAGACGCCCCCAGTTCCTGGAGCACGGCGTGGAACAGCTCTGGTGTGGCGCTCCGGCGTGGTGGGGCCGCTGGGCAGCGCTCACTGGGCCTTGGCCTTCAGCAGGATGCGCTGCACAGTCTTGTAGAGCAGGTGGAAATGCTGGGGGGGAGGGGGACACACCCAGGAACAGTGGTGTGAGGTCAGGGGGTCCCCCGCGGCCATGGAGCGGAGCTTACAGCCTCAGCCACATCCTGGCCAGCCCCCCCAGCCCCCTCCCCACTCACCTGGACTGCCGTGTAGGCCATGCCCAGGTAGGCACCGATGCACACGGCCAGCAGCAGGTCAAAGATGGCCGGCTTCACCCTGGAGTGTGGGGTCCGGGGTGTGTGGTCAGGGCCAGCCCCGGGCAGGGGGGGGGGGAGATTGGTGGGCAGCGGTGCCCCAGGGCTCCCATGGGGGGGGAGCACTCACCTGTATGCGTTCATCACCTGCTTCAGCTGGTCATAGAAGACGAACTCGGGGTCCCTGGGGAGAAAGGGTCACTCAGCGGCCGCCCTGCCAGGCCCAGGAGACCTCGGCCCAGCCACAGCCACAGCCACCAGCCCTCCTCCTCCCATGCCGACGGCCACTCCGCCGACGGCTCGGCGCCCGCGGGCTCTGAGTGGTCTAGACAGGGCGCCGAGGCGCAGGAGTGAGGCCGGGCCCGGGTGGGGTCCTCTGGGCCTCCAGCCCTTCTCACTTCAGCGGGGGCCCCGGAGGCCTCCCGAGGCCCGGAAGGGGGCGCTGGGCAGCCGGACGCGCGGGCTCCCCGCGGTCCCCGCCCCCCGACCCCGCGGGAGGCCCACCGCTTGTCCGCCTTCACGTGGTACTGCCGCACGTCCTTCAGGTAGCGGCCCAGGAAGTGCTCCAGCGTGCTGAGGAACGGGCCGTCCTTGTCCAGCAGCTGCGCCGCGCGGGGCTGGTTGGTCAGCCAGTCCATCACCGAGTCCAGCTGCTCCTGCTGCACCTGCTGCGGCCCGGGCCGGAGGGGGTCAGGGCGGCGCCCCACCGTGTACCACCCCCCCCCCGGCCATCTCCCCTCCCCAGCCTTACCATCTGCTCAGTGAACACCGGCATATCTGGGGGTGTCCCCTGCGGAGAGAGGGGGGCGGGTCTGAAAGGCGCCGAGGGCCTGGCGAGGGGGGCGGGGCAGGGCAGAGGCGAGGGGCGGGGCCTGGCCTGGCATGGGGGCGGGGCCGGGTGGGATAGGCGGTGCTGGGCCTGCCGGGGGAGGGCGTGATTGGCAGTGGTGGGCAGGGGGCGGAGCCTGCAGGGAGGGGGGCCTATCAGAGCGGGCGCAGCATGTGCGGCGGGCGGGGCCGCCTCACCTTCTCCGTGAGGTTGTAGATGACCCGCGTCAGCGCCTCGGCGATGATCCTCGTGTTGCGGGTCAGCGTCTTGGAGTCCACGCGGGACCTGCGGGGGAAGGGGAAATGGAACCCCTGCCATCGGGGTCCTCACCGCGGCGAGGGCCGGTGCACAGCCACGGGGAGGGGGAGCCCTCCAGGATAGGCGACCTTGGGCAGAGACCTCTGCACAGGGGCAGAGGGCTGACCCCCAAACTCACATGCGCCCCGACTGCCCAGGCAGGGCTCTATCTGGACATGGCCTTTACATGGATGCACTAAGGTTGCACTGGAGGGGGCCAGGGCACCCGAGAGAAGAGATACAGAAGCTATGGGCACTGGACTCAGAAATATCAGGGTGATGCTTGGAACAGACTCTGGCAGAGGCAGGAAGGACCCCAGAGAGGACCTAAGCAAAGAGACCAGGCTGCTGAAGGCCCGGGGCCCACAGAGCCCACCAGCAGGGGCTCTCGGGATGACTGGTGCTGGGGTGTCGGGGACAGAGCTGGGGCGTCCAGGACAGAGTTAGGGCTGTCCACCTCCCACTATGCTCTGCTCCCAGCGCTGCTATTGACCTGGAAAATGGTACTAGATTTGGCCAGGGCACACATGTGGGAGACTCGAGTGGAGGCCTAGCTCCCCAAGCCTAGACTCCAAGGATGTCAAGAGGTCACCTGGGAAGCTCGGGGGAGCCGAGTTCAGGCTAAGGAGGGAGGGTGGCTGGAGGACCTGTCACAGTCATGAGGTTCTGGCCGGGGGCCTGGGACTCACTGTGAGCCTCAGCTCCCTGAGCCAGTGAATGCGGTGAAGTCAGCCTAGGGTCATCTAAGCCCTATAATACCAAGCTGGCAGTGTGGTGAACCCAGGCGGGGACAGAGTTCCAGGGCTGGCTGTGATTTCCTCCGATGCCTACTGAGTTAAAAATCCACTTCATGAGGCTCACACCTATAAATGCAGCTACTCACTAGGCTGAAATCAGGAGGATCATGGTTCAGTGCCAGTCCAGGCAGGAACAAGATTGCATCTCAAGGAAGTGAGGCTGTATGAGGTGGCATGCACCTTTTGTCCTAGCTTGTCGGGAAGCCTAAAATAGGCAGGTCCTGGTCCAGGCATGCACCTGGCGGGAAGTGAGCTCCTCAGCGGACTGCACCTGCCCAGCAGGCACCAAACCCTGGTATGAAAACCAAGCACCATGAACAATAAAAAGCCAGCTAGGTGCCGATGGCTCACCCCTGTAATCTAGCTCCTCTCCTCGGGAGGCTGAGACCTTGGGGTTGGAAGTCAGCCTTGACAGGAAAGTCCCTGAGACTCTTATTAACCACCAGATTAACCACCAAAAACCTGGAAGTGGTGCTGTGGCTCCAGTGGTAGAGTGCTAGTCTTGAGTGAAAAAAGCACACACACACACACACACACACACTAAAATTCAAAAACCCCCGTGCAGAGGAGCCCGAGGCCGCTGGGCTGCTGTGCTGTGCTGCGTGGAGCGGGGCGCTGTCCGTCCATCCGGGGGAGGAGCCGGCCCCCAGGGCTCTGCTCACCGCACGTCCATGATGCTGCTGCGCTGCCCGTGGCGGTGGCTGTCCAGGTGGGACAGGGTGAAGGCCGGCAGGCGGCGGATGGCGAAGCGCTCGTGCTCCCAAGCCAGCACGTCGTCGGCCAGGTTGATCTTCTTGTGCACCATGGAGAAGCGCACCTCGGGGAACTGGTGGGCGGCCACCTGCGGGGCGGTGGGGCGGGGGCCAGGTCTGAGGCCCCGGCATCTCTGTGCTCAGGACCCGCTGGCCAGCGTGCCCATGCGGGGTTGGGGGGGGCGGGACTCCCCTATGGGCAGCGCCGACACCCACCGTCTCCAGCTCCCGCAGGAAGGCGTGCTGCAGGGTCCCCTCGCGTGGCGGCTTTGACACGTGGAGGTGCAGCCGGCTGCCCTGGCCCACGGTGTCCAGGCACAGGACGAAGGCCACGTTGTCCTGCAGCAGGCTGGAGTCTGCGGAGCGGAGCGGCAGGGGCTCAGGGGGAGACAGTGGAGGGGAGGGGCGGGACGGGGGGGGGTAGGGAGGGACGAGGGGGGAGGCCCAGCCCGAGGCACTCACCTGTGTGGTCCAGGTTGTCCTCCAGCCAGCGCTTGGTGCCCTGGTAGTTGAACTTGCCCCCTCCGGAGGCAAAAAACAGCAGGTTGTACCTGGGGGGAGCGGGGTGTCAGCTGGGGGGATGTAGGTGGGGGGTAGGCAGTCACAGCAAACTCAGAAGTGCCTCCCAAACCACAGAATGATCTATGACTAGTTCCTGGGCTGACTGGTTCTCCAAGGGGTGTCCTGATCCTACACCCACACCACGCCAGTCCTGACAGCCACCGGTGTCCCCAGATGGCAAAGCTTAAGAAGCTCCAAGCCCTGGAAAGGTGGGTGTGTGGTGAGGTGAGGGGGGCCTGGGCCCCGTCTCTGGTCCCTGTCCACCTACCAGGGCCACACAGCTCACTGTCAAGGCCCAGGTGAGGTCCCAGGGACGGTGGCAGGTGCTGAGGCTCGGCCCTGAACCCTCGCGCCCGTCACCCCTGTCCCCCGGCTCCCTGCAGGGGGGGGACAGGCATGGTCCCTGGGGAACTGAAAGGCTACCTGTTGAGAAGCAGGGCCTCTGTGGGGGTCACCAGCCACACTGGGGGCTAAGGCAGCAGCTGGTGTCGCCAGCAGAGGGACCTCAGGACAGACCTCAGGATGTCCGGGGGGCAGAGACTGAAGGGATGTAGCCACACGTCTGCACTGGGCCTCAACTAACGGGCAGCAGGTGGCGCCCACGCCAGCATCGGTGTCACCCAAACCCACAGGAGACCTTAGAACTGGGCCCCTGGCCTCACCCAGCCACAGGCAAACATCCAGGACAGGGGCGGCAGCTCACACTTGTAATCCTAACTACCTGAGAGGTGGAGGACATAGCGGTTTGACACCAGCCTGGGAAAAAGTGTGCAAAATGCCAACTCAACCAGTAAGAAGCCGGGTGCAGTGGAATGAGCCTGTAATCCCACTTATGCAGGAAGTATAAATATTGTAGTTCAAGCCAATCTGGATAGGAAGCAAGACCCTAATTCAAAAATAAACAGGGGCGCCGGGCTCTGGTGGCTCACGCTTTTCATCCTAGCTACTCAGGAGGCTGAGATCTGAGGATCGCGGTTCAAAGCCAGCCCAGGCAGGAAACTCTGTGAGAATCTCATCTCCAATAAACCACTCAGAAAACTGAAGTGATGCTGTGGCTCAAGTGGTAGAGTGCTCGCCTGAAAAGCTGAGGGATAGGACTCAGGGCCCAGAGTTCAAGCCCCAAGACCAACACAATAAACAAACAAATAAATAAATAGGAAAAAAAACCACCTGGGCACGGGTGGCTCACTCCTGTAATTCTGGCTACTCCTGAGGCTGAGATCTGAGGATCCTGAGGAGATCCTCAGATCACAGTTCAAAGCAGCCCAGGCAGGAATATCTGTGAGACCCTCATCTCCAATTAACCACCAAGAAGCCAGAAAGTGTAGCTGTGGCTCAAGTAATACTAGCCTTGAGAGAAACACTCAAGAACAGCACCCAAGCCCCAAGTTCAAGCCCACGCATAGGCGCGCGTGTGTACACATGTGCACACACGCTGGGCCCCACAGTATACACCACGGATGGCAACCCTGGCCGGATGCCCCCAAAGAACATCTGGCGCATGCCCACTGTGCCCAGGGGCACCCTGTATCCATCCACCTTTAGACAGTTCGGTTCCTCACAGGCACTGCCAGCCTCCTGGGCCAGGGGGTGGGGCAGCAAGGCACCCCGGGCCGGGGCGGGCCCACACCCACAGCCCCGGGCCAGGGGGTGGGGCAGCAGGGACGGGGCCAGGGCGGGGCCTCACCCACAGCCCCGGGGGTGGGGCAGCATGGAACCCGGGCCAGGGCGAGGCGGGCCACACCCACAGCCCCGGGCCAGGGGGTGGGGCAGCAGGGACCCAGGGCCAGGGCGGGGCGGGCCACCCCCACAGCCCCGGGCCAGGGGGTGGGGCAGCATGGAACCCGGGCCAGGGCGGGGCGGGCCACACACCCCCCCCCCCGACAGCCCCGGGCCAGGGGTGGGGCAGCAGGGATGGGGCCAGGGCGGGGCCACCCCCCACAGCCCCGCCCCGCGGCACTCACGCGGCGTGCGTGCGCTTGTAGGTGTACAGGCGGGAGAAGAGGCGGGCCAGCTCCAGCAGCACAGAGATGCCGCTCCCATTCGAGTCTGCGCCGAGCGACAGCCACTGCGGGAAGACAGGCAGAGGGGAAGCCGGCGGTGCCAGGCTCCCCCGTTCTTCACCAACCCGCCTCGGGTCCTCGTGCAGTGCAGGGCCAGCTCCCCCCCACCTCCGTGCACACGGAGCTCACTGCACCTCACATCTGGGGGCCGAGCCCCGGTGTTCAAGACCTCAGTCCTGGGGGGCGGGGGTGCAGCCTAAGCACCTGCCCGATCCACTTCCGGGTCCTAAATACTATCACCAAGAGTGGGAGAAGTGCTTGCAGGGACAGGAAGGAGGTGGTGTCATGGCTCACGCCTGTAATCCCAGCCTCGCAGGAGGCAGGGATCAGGAGGACCACAATTCAAAACCAGCACAGGCAGAAAGCTCATCACAAGCCTCTCACCTCAGTCAACACCGTTTCAAACATAAAATAGGTGCATCTCGGTCCAGGCATATGCCCAGGCTCAAAAATAACCAGTGCAAAGCAGGACTGCAGGTGTGGCTCAGCTGTAGAGCACCTGCCTAGTGAGTCCAAGATGCTGAGTTCAAACCTCAGTACGGTCAAAAAAAGAAAAGAGGGACTAGGAAGGTGGTAGAGCGCTTGCCTTGCATATATGAGGCCCTGGATTCGATTCCTCAGCACCACATAAGCAAAAAGAAAAAAGCCAGAAGTGGTGCTGTGGCTCAATTGGTAGGGTGCTAGCTTGAGTTGAAGAGCTGTGGGACAGTGCCCAGGCCAAGAGTTCAGGCCCCATGACTGGACCCAAGAAAAAAAGAAAAGAAAAAGAAACTACCGGATGACAGACCTTAAAGGGTGAGTTGCGAGGCGGGCTCCAGTGCCTCACGCCTGTCATCCTAGCTACTCAGGAGGCTGAGGTCTGAGGATCGAATTTCTTTATTTTTTATTTTTTGGGTCTGGTCGTGGGGCCTGAACTCTGGGCCTGGGCACTGTCCCTCAGCTCTTCAGCTCAAGGCCAGCACTCTACCCCTTGAGCCACAGCGCCACTTCTGGCTTTTTTCTTATGTGGTGCTGAGGAATCAAACCCAGGGCCTCAGGCATGCAAGGCAAGTGCTCTACCACTGAGCCACCTTCCCAGCCCCCTGAGGATCGAATTTCAAAGCCAGCCCAGGCAGGAAAGTCCATGAGACTCTTAAGCAACCAGAAAACCAGAAGTGTGCTGTGGCTCAGGTGGTAGAGGGGTCGCCTTGAGCTGAAGGACAGCACCCAGGCCCAGAATTAAAGCCCCACAACCAACCCCGCCCCCCCAAAAAAGGGTGAGTTGTGTTAAAGATAGAGCCACTGGGAGCTGGTGGCTCATACCTGTAACCCTAGCTACTCAGGAGACTGATATCTGAGGATTGAGGTTCAAAGCCAGTCCAGACAAGAAAGTCTACCATATTCTTTATCTTCACTGAACCACCAGAAAACCAGAGGTGGTGCTGTGGCGCATAGTGGTAGAGTGCAGCCTTGAGTGCCAAAGCTCAGGGACCGCGCCCAGGCCCTGAACCCAATCCCCATGACTGACCAAAAAAGCAAACAAACAAAAAGGATGGCACAGGTACAGTCATGGCCAAATCACACAAAGGCATCCTGGGTAGAAGAAAGGGGCTAGGGCAGCTCCACAGCTGAGACCCCTGCTGCCCGGCCCTGCCCGGCCCTGCCCTGCCCGGCCCGGCCCGGCCCGGCCCGGCAGGCGTTCTCAGCACAGGGTTCAGCCTTTCCATGGTGTGCACTGGCCCTGCTGCGGGCAGCACAGTGCCCCGTGGGGCACTCTGCGTCCACCAGACCCTACAGGGAGCCGTACTTACGGGGGCCACACCGAAGGCGTCGTAGTGAGCCACGATGACGATGGTGGGGAGGTCCTCTCCGCCCAGCCCCGTCAGCCGCCCCTGTGAGAGACAGGCTAGATCGCGGGGGTCCGCACCCCTGGCCATCCCTGGGCAGCAGGGCTGGGCAGGAGGACAACTTCCTTACAGAGAAAATGGACTTCCAGTTGTGGGGACCACGTGGATCTCTGCAGATTACTCGGGAGAGCCACCACGGATGACATGAGTGATGGCTGTGGCTGTGTGTCAACAAAACTTTATTAAAACTGGGAAAGTCAAATACTATTTGAATGAACTTCAAATCGCTGATGTGTAAGAGCAAAAATCAAAGTTGTTTTATTCTTCTCCTAATTACAATTAATGTTTGATGGTTGCTCAAGTTGTACAGAAAATTTAGAACTCATTCCTTCTTGAATCTTGTTTTTCCAAAATCGAAAGAGTAAATATTTAAGAGAAAAAAAAAAAGACTTTATTAAAAAACAAGCTGGGGGGGCTGGGAAGGTGGCTCAGTGGTAGAGCGCTTGCCTTGCATGCCTGAGGCCCTGGGTTCGATTCCTCAGCACCACATAAGCAAAAAAGAAAAAACAGGAAGTGGTACTGTGGCTCAAGTAGTAGAGCGCTAGCCTTGAGCTGAAGAGCTGAGGGACAGCGCCCAGGCCCAGAGTTCAGGCCCCACGACCGACAAAATAAAAAATAAACAAGCAGGGTGCCAGTGGCTCACGCCTGGAATCCTACTCAGGAGGCTGAGATTTGAGGATCATGGCTCCAAGCCAGCCCAGCCAGTGAAGTGTGTGACTCTTACCTCCAATTAATCACAGAAAACTGGAAGTGGAGCTGTGGCTCAAAGTGGTAGAGTGCGAGCCTTTGGTGAAAGAGCTCAGGGACAGCGCCCAGCACCTCAGTTCAAGGCCGGAAAAAAAGACAAGTGGAATACTGCGCTCAGGGTGGGCACAGCACTATCCAAAGACCACAAGCCCGAGGCCCCGCAGGCGCAGACCCGCCGTGGCAGAGGACGCAGGCTTGGCGAGGGCAGGCACAGCCACGCCCCCCGCACGCGCCAGCCCCGTTCTCCCTGCACTCGGGCTCCAGCCCCCAGCTAGGGCCGGGAGGAGAGCCACACCGAGGCGGGCACAGGGCCACCCCTGGCCCACACTGAGGCTGTCCAGTGGCTGCCACAGAGGGACACAGTGGTGGGAGGAATGTGGGGGAGTGTGGAATTGGGGAACTGGGGGTCCCCTGACCCTGTGGGCCATAGCCTCTACCCAGAACACAGCCAAGCCTGTGCCAGCTGGCGCCAGGAAAGTCAGGAGAGCGTGACACATGCGGCACAGGCCCCAGCATCCCACTGCCCGACTCCAATGAACAGAAACTTCTAGAAGCCCATGGCAGGGTGGCTGCACTGATAAAAAAAAGGCCTCTAAACCTGGGGGGTCGCTTAGCTGGGTCCAGACGCAGGGATCTGGGCAGAACTTGGCCGTCTTTGTGTCCTGTCCACCTGTCTATGCAGCAGGCCTCCCCCACTGGGCCTGCCTCTCTGCTGGACCTGGGCCAGGCCCAAGCCCCCGTGTCAATCTGCATACAGCAGGGGCCTAAACAATGCTTCCTGGGAGGGCCATGAAGGGGGTGGGGTGTGGTAACAGAATGGAGGCAGGTGGGGACTGGCAGAGGCCCACCTCCACCCCACCAGGCAGCCAGGGGGGTTCCGGAAGGTGGGTGTCCCGGCTGGGCAGGGGCTGGGGCTGAGGAGCCTGGGTGTCCGGGGGCCCCGCACTCACCTCCACGCTGGTGATCAGCCAGTCGCTGACAGCCTTACTCTGCACCCCACTGGTGACCATCTGGAAGCCATTGGCAGTGGCCGTATGCAGCAGCACTGAGGGCGGGAGGGGCAGGTCACCGGGGCCCAGCGGCTGTCCCTCAGCCACCAGGGGTCCGAGACCGAAGCCGACCTCAGCACCCCACACCCCAAACTTGGAACCTTACAGGCCTGACCTGGGGCAGCGCAGAAGGTGGCCCCAGAGGACCTGCATCTGAACCCCTCCCTGGGCTCCTTTCTCCCGGGTACTGGATGGCCCTCCCTGGGCTGTGGCTCCGCGTGGGGGGGGGGGAAGGTCCCTGCCTGGGCTGTGCATGCCCCAGGTTCACCCCTAGCACTGCACATGACCACAGAGTGAGCTTGGAGATCTATGCTCCCAGAACTTCCTGTCATGTTTCAGCATATTTCCAAACACAAGTTTCTGGGTTATGATCAGTAGGTTCACTTTCATATCCTGCCCTTTTCCACAAAATTCTACTGCCCCATCTTTGTGTGAGTATGTGTGTGGTGGGGCTTGAACTCCTGGGCACTCTACCACTTGAACCATGCCTCCACTTTTTGCTGGTTAAAGATCAGAGCCTAGATCTGCCTGCACTAGCTTTGAACTGTGATCCTCAGATCTCAGGAATTCAGGCATGAGCCACTGGTGCCTGGGTCTCATGGTCACATTTGTATGTGTGTGTGTGTCTATGTCTGGTCTGTCTGTGTATCGCAGGGCTTAAACTCAGGGCCTAGGCCTGTCCCTGAGCTGTTGTGCTCAAGGCTAGAGCTCTACTACTTGAGCCAAAGCTCCATTTCTAGCCTTTTACTGGTTAAATGGAGACAAGGATCTCATGGACTTTCCTGCCTCTGCTGGCTTCAAACTGATCCTCACATCTCAACCTTCTGAGTAGCTGGGACTGCACTTTTGATAGCCATGTAATATTCCACTGCGGGCAGCTCTGCCCCTCCTTCTCCACCTGGAAGTGTTGAGACGCTAGCGCCTCCTGGGGTGGAGGCGGTGGTGGTCCACAGCCGCACGGAGACTGGGCTGGGCGCGCGCATCCCGGGCTGGATGGTTAGTGAGCGCTTTCACAGCTGTCTGGGCGGACGGTCAGCCTGAGTGACAGTAAAGTGAGTGCGGCCTGTGCGCTGATAAAGCTTTACAAAACAGAGCCAGCAGCTGCCAGATCTAGCCAGTCTGGCCAGCGGTGCGCCAGCAGTGCAGGCGTCCCTGGGGGGTCAGCTGCCTCCCTTCTTCCTCCCTGGCTCTGTGTGTGGTACTGGGGTGGAGCAGGTCTCGCAAACCCGGCCAGCTCTCATCACTGGCTGATTCTTTTCTCATAGCAGCCGACACCCCACGTTCCCCCAAACCCCGGGGCTGACACCCCCCTGCAAGACGCCTCCAATCCCCTGAGCAGTGCCTGAAGGCCAGCCGAAGGGACAGTGGGTGCCATGTTCCGGGCAGCCCATGCGGAAGCAGAGTCCCCCACGCCCCTCCTCCCCCCACACACACCTTCCGCGGCGGAGGCGGAGCCCTGAGAAGCAGAGGCCGCCTGCGTCTGCTCGTAGATGGACAGCAGGGCCTCGTCCTCCACGGCAAAGTACACAGGCACGATGGTCTCCATGGCCAGCATCTCGGGCTCGATCTCCATGAATTGCTGCGGGGAAGACGGCGTTCAGGGCGGGGGATGGGGACCCTCACAGGGGCCCAGCAGGTCCTGCTGGCGGACAGCAGGGGACACCCAGCCGCACGGTGCCACGCCGTTCCCAGGGGCATCCTGGGTCCCACGTGGCACTGCAGGCGCGGGGGACAGGGGCCGCGGTGGGGCTCACCCGGACGACGTCCTGGGGCACGGCGGCCATGGCGCGGGGCAGGATGATGACCACGGCGCCCGCTGACTGCCGCAGGGCCTTCTGGTACTGCTCGTAGGAGAAGTCCACCAGCCGCATGAGCACGCAGCGGCGGCTCAGCACGTCCGCGTCCACCGTGCGCGCCTCGGTGTTCAGCACCGCATTCCGGGTGCCTGCAGGACACGGACGGGGAGGGTCATCAGGGCCGGCCTGACACACACACACACACGCACACGCACGCACGGCCCTGGACTCCCAAGACAGGCAGCTGTGCTCACACGGGCTGCCCGGTGGGCGGGGCACGCTGCGGCGCAAACCCATGCCACCTCCTGACCTCGAGCCTTGGGGTGGCTTTGCCTGGCCCTGTCCACGGTCCTGTGGGGACTCTGAAGGGCACTCATCTGCGGGAAGGGGCGCAGAGGGCACCACACCCATCGCCAGCTACGCAACTGGAGGACCATGAGCATCCGGGACCATCCAGCAACCCGGGGACTGCTGCAACCACACCCAGCTGGGCACGCAGGCTGCACCCCACCTGCAGGGCCCGTAGCCCCCCTCCAGGACTGCGGTGGGGTGTGTCTCGTGCCCTCGCACACACACAGGCTGCTCTCACCAAGTCCCAGTGTCCCTGAGTGGGGACTGGTCGCTGGGGGGGGGGGGGGCCTCAGCATACAACAGGGGCTGAGGAAGCAGCTAACCCACGCGGGATGGGGGCGGGTCGTGCCCTGCATTCAGGGGGCCGGGGGAGATGGCTTAGCAGCTCTGCCCGCAGGTGGGACCCCAGGGTGGCACAGAATGCCCATCGGGCCCCTGAACTTGGCCGAATGTCACAGCCCTGGTGGCACACAGGGGACAAAGAAATGATTGCTCTCTAGCCGGCGCCGGTGGCTCAGGCCTGTCACCCTAACCACGCAGAAGGCTGAAAGCTGAGGATCACGGTTCAAAGCCAGTCTGGGCAGGAAAGTCCGTGAGACTCTAATTTCGAAACACCAAAAAAGCCCCAAGTGTATTTGTGACTCAAGTAAAGCGCTAGCCTTGAGCACAAAAGCTCGGGGACAGTATTCAGGGCTTGAGTTCAAGCCCCAGACCCAGCGCGCACGCACATACACACATGCACACGCATGCACACGCACGCACACGCACGCACGCACACACACACACACACACAGTGAAGGTGCAAATGCTGCCCAGGGCCACACAGAGCCAGGTGATGGAGGCAAGGCCCAGATGAGGCTCTGGTCTCCAATTTGTTGTCTTTGGGGAAGCAGGAATGAGGGTGCTCTCCAGCCGACTCAGTGTCCTGGAGGTCGGGGCTGCGGGAGGTGACCGCAGGTGACAAGGAGCTGGGAGGCTTCGGGCTGTGCACGTGGAGCTGGGGCTCTGGGCCAGATTACTACATCCCATCCCCGCTCTCCAGGAACAGGCTGGGAGACCAGAGCCAAGGGAGGGTCTGGCCGCAGAGGCAGGGCCCCTCAGCAGTGGGGACCCAGAACCCAGAAGGGATAGCGCCCCTCCCCCGCAATGGGAAGAGGTGGTCAGGAGCCAACCAGGAGACCGGGCCCCTCTGCTCCCCTCCAAGACCCGGCTGGCCACTGTGTGACTCAGCAGCCCACGAGGGCAGGGCACCTGCAGAAGCGGGGCCACAGGCAGTGCCAGCCCCTTACAAGGACACCCCGCGGGGATAACCGGCCTCGGCTTGAGGGCCAGTCCTAGTCCCCTTCGGTGGGGCTGACCTTCAGAGGGCCTCAGGGTGGGACAGACACCCACAGCCTGGGTGGACATCCTCTCACATGGCGCATCTGACAGACGCTGGCAGCCCCCACAGCAGGACTAGACCTGAATGGGGGGGAGGGGAGGGGAGGTCCCTGTAAGTTTTCTCTACCAAGGACTGGAGGGTCACATGTGCAGCCATCAGTATAACGATGGCCATATCCCGTGAGGTGCCAATAAAACTTTATTTACAATCACAGGTGGGGGGCCAGAGCGGACCTGCCGGCTGCAATTAGCCTACATCTGATTTAGGAGCTCAGTGCAGTTGGGTGTTCACAAGAGCCATTTGCCCACCTCACAGGGGCGAGGCCACGCATGAAGGGGGGGGGGCACCTGGCTGATTACCTGGGCCGGGTCACACACACCCCAATCTCCTAGAGGCACAGATGGCCCAGTTTCTCCTCAGCGGCCAGAGGAAGTTGGGTAAGGAGCCAGAAAGCACCGTGGGTTGCGGCTGGGGTGCTGCTTGAGGTTGGGGAGTAACTTATGCACAGGGGCCCAGGATGAAAGAGGCCATGCTCCACCCTGGCACGGGACGGGGAGCGCGTGGGGGAGGGTGGGACCTTTGACTTTCCCGGGTGGCAGGAAGGGCAGGGCTGGGCGGATGCCTCCCCTCTGCCGGACTTCTACTCCCTCCCTACCTCAGTCTCCTGAGGACTCCTGAACGGGAGCAATAAACACTGGGTGGGGAGGGGAGGGGGGCAGCTGAGTGGAGGGGAGGGCTGACTGGGCTCAGGCAGGGGTGACCACAGGCCACAGACTGTGCCACAGCCAGTACTGCTGGGGTGAGGCAGGGAGGACACAGGAGCCTTCCGGCGACAGCAGGGCCTCCCCACTCAAGCCCCATGTGACCCCTCAGTGCCATGAACAGTGGGGTCGCTCTCCCCCCACTCAACACTGGGACACCCTCAGTCATGACAACCACCGCTCTAAGTAGAAACCACGCAAACTTCTGAGCAAAAGAGGAGCCACCTCCGTAGACGGGGCACCCCCGAAAGGGCCTGGGGAGCCTGGGGGGGGGCGGGGATCCAAGGGGCTCAGCTGGGCCTGACGGTGCCACCCGGACCGCCGCTCAGAACGGGGCCCGGCCTGAGCGCAGGGGACCCTTCCCCCGGGGGTCAGGCCTTGGCTCTCAGGCTGGAGGCAGACACCCGGGGAAGGTTCCAGAAGATGAAATAGAATCAGGGTCAGGCCCCATGAGGCTTCGGATGACAGGTGGCCGGGGACCCTAAGGATCATCCTGGGGGGTCACACGGTGGGGGGGGAGGTGGAGGAGTTGAGGGGACCCCGAGGGGCCCGGAGGCCGGGCCGGGCGAGGGGGGCTCCGCGGGCGGATCTGAGGGGGCAGGCGGGCGGGGGACGCGGGGCGCACGCACGCACGCACCGTACGGCTGGCCCTGCAGGTCGTACTGCTGCATGCGGTACACCGTGAACTCGTGCGCGGCGTCGGCGGCCGGCAGAGGCGGCGCCACGAGCAGCAGCACCGCGGGCAGGAAGACGATGAAGCCCAGCGGGAGGCACGACGCCTTCAGCATGTTCTCCAGCACCTCGCCCGCTTCTTCCAACATCCTGGCCGGCGGCGGGGCCGCACGGGGCGGCGGCGGCGGCGACGAGACGAGGACGGGAACGGCGGCGGCGACAACCGCGGACTCACCTCGGCATGGGTAGCCACCGGGGTCCTTCGGGCGCCGCGCCGGGCAGCCCCGCACCGGCCCAGGGTCCTGCGGGCATCGCCGCGGACAACTCTTAAGACTTGCACTGCCTCTTGGGGGTTGTAGTCCTGCGGGCGCGGAGCCTCCTGGGAGTTGTAGGCATACTCTCAGAGTCCGCCAAGGAAGCCATGGGAAACTGCTTGGTAGCGCTGTAATTCCACACCAGTTCCAAGGCGGAAGATATGAACACTTTAAAATAACTGTTTTTAGGTAGAATTTCCTTAAGCTTTGTCTTTGGCGTGGTGGGTGCGGGAGGAGAGGAGGGGCAAGAAGCGGAGACCGGACGTGACCTTGCGACCTGGAGGGAAGTAGCCCAACTCGCGCGCTAGTTCTGCTGGGAATTGTAGTCCCATTGCACAAGGTGCAGTGGGTTATGGTAACTGTAGTCCTGTAGTTGCTGAGAAAATTAAAATTCCTAAGGAAGACAGACATTAAACTCCATGAATTCCTAGTTCATGGGCTCATCTGTATATTGACATGTCTCTAAAGCCGTGAGCACAAGTCCTGACACGTTGAGTAGGCTACATAATTTGGGGCGGGGGGGGGATGGTGAATGAATGAAAAAAAAATCTTAAAAATCAGGATTAAACGGGCTGGGAATGTGGCTTAGTGGTAGAGTGCTTGCCTAGCATGTACTGCATAAACGGACAAAGCTGTGGCTCAAATAGTAAAGTGCTAGCCTAGAGCAAAAGAAGCTCAGGGACAGTGCCCAGGCCTTGAGTTCAAGTCCCACAATTGGCAAAAAATAAAAAAATTAGGATTGAAGGTTGCTTGTCCTGATGTTGCATTGGTTAGATTTGTGGTCTGCAATCTGGAGTTTCCACAGGGCTTGATGGTATACTTGTTTATATTTATCTTTATTCATATTTGAGGCATAGTTACACTAAAATGTGGCTGTTTAAAATTAATTGCTTTCCCATCAGCTGCACTGGACATTGATGAAAATGAACGAATCAACTCAAGGGCAGTATGGGAGAGAGGGAATGAGAGGTAAAAAGGGAACAGCTTACACTAAACAAAAGGAAAGAAATGTACATATCGTCCGATGTGGAAGAAATAGTTGTATTGTCAAAGCTCATAGAATTCACAAACATTACAGACCATGATAATGACAATTTGCCCCATGAAGGTTAGAATGTGTTTGTGACTTTAAGTATCACTATCCCACAATACTGTGAAATTTATGTAAGGGAAGGTGGCTCAGTGGTAGAATGCTTGCCTTGCATGCATGAGGCCATGGGTTCAATTCCTTGGCACCACAGAAAAAGCTGGAAGTGGAGCTGTGGCTCAAGTGGTAGAGCACTCGCCTTGAGCTGAAGAGCTGAGGGACAGCGCGCAGGCCCAGAGTTCAGGCCCCGCAACCGACAAAAAAATAAAACGAATTACTTTGATGGAAGTTCAGATTTAATTTTGGTGTATCTCATATTTATGTAAGAACTCAGTGTCTCAGGGCCAGGGCACTAAAAATGTGAATGAACATTACATCAGAACTCACACCTGTCATTTGGGGACTTAAGAGAGTACAGAAGTTAAACATCTAGGTCCTCAGCTCCAGGATGTTTGATGTGCTAATTAAGAGCAAGACAGGGCTTAGAAAACCTGGCTTCTCCCCTTCTTAGATACATTCCCCTGGACAAGTCACTTTCCAGTTCCAGCTTGGTTTTCCTCCACTAGAAACCCTGGGGGCAGGGGCAGTGGTGCACACCTGTAGTCTCAGCTACTTGGAAAGTGATGCACTAGATGGCTTGAACCCCCAAGTTCAAGATCAGATAATTGGTGCAAGCTGATAACCCAGTCTCCATCTCCCCATCCCCACCTCCTGAGTAGTTGGGACTGATCTTGACATTTCTTCATGAAATATTTGTAATGTCTCATCTTCCCCATGTGTGACTTTTGGAGGGCACTGACTGGGTCTGTGCTGCTTATGGCTTTAAGTCTTGTGCCAGAAAAGAGCCCAACACAGTGGATGGATGGATGGTTGGAGGAATGGATGGAAGGAAGGAAGGAAGGAAAAGAGGAAGAAAGGAAGGAAGGAAGGGTAGATGGATGGTTGGAGGAAAGGAAGGATGGATGGATGGGTAGATGGATGGTTGGAAGAATGGATGGATGGATGGATGGAAGGAAGATGGATGGATGGATGGGTAGATGGATGGTTGGAGGGATGGATGGATGGATGGAAGGATGGATGGGTGGATGGAAGGAAGGAAGGATGGATGAATGGATAGATGGATGGTTGGAAGAATGAATGGATGGGTGGATGAATGGATGGATGGATGGGTAGATGAATGGTTGGAAGAATGGATGGATGGATGGATGGATGGAAGGAAGGATGGATGAATGGGGTGGGTGGATGGACGGAGTGTGAATCCTTGCTATGTGACCTTAGGAAAGTACCCTAACCTCTCTGGGCCTCCAGTTCTTTATCTGTCTGAAGGAACTAATAGTGGACCTGCCTCCTGCACATCTTTGCAGGTTTAATACAGCGCTTAGAACAATACCTGGCACTGAGTGACACACAGGCTTTGTCACTGTCACTTGACAACATACACAAGGTGGTGCGGAGGTGACGTGATCACACCTCAGCAGCATGCAGTACTACCCCAATTCTCACCTTCCAGAAGAAACGGAGGCTGTGCTGCATGGCAGAGCTGGGGCACTGGTGGGTGACAGACACAGAAGGAGGCATCCGCACTGATTGCCCTACTCAGCCATGTCACGAGTTTTGGGGCCTACAAGAGAGGTAGGATGAAGGAGGAGAACAAAAGGAGGCGTGTGGCCTGGACAGGCGGCTCACGCCTGTAATCCCAGCCACTCTGGAGGCTGAGATCTGAGGATGATGGTTCAAATCCGGCCTGGGCAAGAAAGACACCTTTATCTCCAATTAATCAACTTTATCTCCAATTAATAGCTGTGGCTTGAGTTCTAGAGCACTAGCCTTGAGGCAAAAAGCTAAGTGACAGCAGCCAAGCCCTGAGTTCAAGCCCTAGGACTGGCACAAAAAGAAAAAAGGCCTCAGGAGGCTGAGATCTGAAGATCACGGTTCAAAGCAGCCCAGGCAGGAAAGTCCGAGAGACTCTTGTTTTGTTTTGTTTTTGTTTTTTTGGCCAGTCATGGGGCCTGAACTCTGGGCCTGGGCGCTGTCCCTCAGCTCTTCAGCTCAAGGCTAGCACTCTACCACTTGAGCCACAGCGCCACTTCCGGCTTTTTTCTTTTTGCTTATGTGGTGCTGAGGAATCGACCCCAGGGCCTCAGGCATGCAAGGCAAGCGCTCTACCACAGAGCCACCTTCCCAGCCCCTCTGTAGGACTCTTATCTCCAATAAACCACCAGAAAACCATGGTACATGGTACAGTGCTAGCCTTGAGCAAAGGAACTCAGAGACAGTGCTGAGACCCAAGTTCAAGCCTTATGACCAATAAAAATAAAGAATAAAACCCTTTTGCCTGTGATTGACAGGAGAAAGTAGCCCCCAACTATTTGTTATGGATTAAATTGTGCCCCCTCCCCTCCCAAATCTGTACATTCAAACTGGGATTCCCAGGACCTCAGAACAGAATGTCATCTGGAAAGAAGGGTCCCTGTGGATGGGTTTATTAGAATGATGTCCTGAGAAGGATGAGCTTTAATTCACTGGCAGATGTTATTTACAGAGGAGTTTGGACATGCACTAAGTGGCTCATGCCTGTAATCCTAACTACTCAGGAGGCTGAGATCTGGAGGATCTTATCTCAAAGCCAACCCCAGAGAGCAAAGTTAGAGTCTCCATCTCCAGTTGACAAGCAAAAAGAGCGGTTGTGACCGAAACAGTAAAGAGTGTCAAGCCAGCCAGCCAGGTGAACATGAGGCCCTGAGTTCAAATTGTCAACCAGACACAGTGAGAGGTAGGGCAGGAAAATGGATGCAGAACTGGGCCCCAGTGGCTCACACCTGTAATCCTAGCAACCCAGGAAGCTGAGATCTGAGGATCTCAGTTCAAAGCCAGCCCAGGCAGGAAAGTCCATGAGACTTTTGCCACCAATGAACCACCAGAAAAACCGGAAGTGGCGCTGTGACTCCAAGTGGTAGAGAGCTCACCTTGAGTGAAAAAGCTCAGGGACAGCACCCAGGCCTTGAGTTCAAGCCCCATGACTGACCAAAATGTTAAAAAAGGTACAAAGAGAGAGAGATGCGTAGATGGAGGAGCTTCCACAGGCCCAGAGCCGGAAGAATGGGGTCACCCCAGACTACCAGACAATGTGCGTCCTGGGGGAGGGTGTCCCAGCCCTGCCCACCTTGACCTGAGGACGATCTCCCGGGGTGCAGAAGTGAGCCAGACGGAAGGTGTTCCTAGGAGATCAAGACACGGAGAAGCTGCATTCTTCACATTTCACTCAGTTTAATGATTTTACAGAATGACAAGTGGCTGGTGAGACGTGGGGGGCCGTGGGCTCAGCCGCCCCTGCACGGGCCCGCGCTGGGACCTGAGTCCCAGCCTCACCCCCCCCCCGCCCCACCCCAACATCTCCCCCCCCCAGGGAGACCCTGCGGGCTGGGGTGGGGATGATGGGGAGCAGCGGGTCACCCCTGGCCACCAATCCGGGGTGCCACTTCATGTAAACGAATGCAAATTAAATACCATTGCTGGGGGCAAACCCTGTTCCCACAGTTGGGGGGAGGCTCCACCACCCCTAGATTTGAACCCCCCAACCATTCAAAGCCCGGATCTGCGAGGAGGGTAGCGAGGGGAAGCCCCCCCCCCCTCCGAGGCTCGGTCCGGGCTTCACCAAGGAGGAGGTGAGCGACAAGAGCGAGGTGACCAGGGTCTGTCCCCCGGCTCCTGCCTGGCAGCGAGCGTGGCTCACACGGACGCGCGCGCGCATGCGTGCGGAGGGGGCGGGGAGCGCAGGGACAGGGCTCTGCTCGAGCGCGCGCGCGCCCGCTGGCGCCCGCGCCCCCACCGCGCACGCGCAAGGCTTGGTCACCCCCCCCCTCCACGGTTGCGCGCTCCCCCCACCGCGCACGCGCACGCAACCGGCCGTTCACTGTCGGCGCGCGCGCGCACGCACACTCGCACCGCCAATCAGACCGCCGGCGGCGACTTCGAACGTGAACTGGCCCCGGGGTGCGGGGTGGGGGCCGGCTGCGGGGCTGGGAGCGGCGGGAGCCAGACTCCGCAGCCCGGTGCCCCCCAACCCGGCCCAGAGAGCGGCCCGGGCCCCCCACCCGGGGTCACACACAGCGGGGTCACGCCAACGCCCCCCCCCGTCCCTTGTGCTGGGGGGCGATGTGGGGGGAGCGCGAGGCTCCCAGCCGTGCGTGCCTGTCCCCGCACCCCGGGGAGGGGACCCCGCGGGGCTGTGCGCGCGCCCCTCTCCCCGCACCCCCTCTGGGGCTCCCACGCCCGTCCGCCGCGCCCCAGGCCGGCCGCGCGCGTCCTCAGACGCTCCGCACGCTGGAGACGCTGGACAGGGGCTCCCGCATCCTGAAGCTGTGCGATCGCGAGCCCCGGAAGCTGTCTCGGTGCCGCAGCGAGCTGTCGGTGGTGGAGGCTGCGGAGTGCGCCTCGGAGGCCCGGGCCAGGCAGTCCCCGGGACCCCGCAGGCCCAGGCGGAGGCACCCGCAGCACAGGAAGGCCAGCACGGCGCGGCACACCTCCCGGCTGCGGAACGAGTAGATGAGCGGGTTGATGGCCGAGTTGAGGACAGCCAGAGCCAGGATCCAGTCCATGCCCCGCAGGTACTCCTGCGCCCAGACGTTGGAGCCGAAGATGTCAGCCAACAGCAGGCCGAAGAGGGGTCCCCAGCACACGACGAAGGCCACCAGGATCATGAGGACCGTCTTCAGGAGCCGCCGGGCCTTGCGCCGGGCCGGAGGGCGCGGGGCCTTCTGCCCGTTGGCCCGGACCACCCGGAAGATGGCCCCGTAGAGGCCCAGGATGGCCACCAGGATGAGGGCGAAGAGCAGCACGCAGAAGAGGATGTAGTCCTTGGAGTAGAGGGGCAGGAGGGTGGAGCAGCGCTGGAAGGCGCACACACAGTTCCAGCCCAGCAGTGGCAGCAGCCCCAGCAGCCCGGCCAGCAGCCAGCACAGCCCGATGAAGCCATAGACCCGGCTGGTTTTGGTGGCCACGCTCTCGGCCACCCGCACCATGGTGGCGAAGCGTTCGCCGGCTGTGAAGAGCAGGCTGAAGGTGGACGCGGCCAGGGCCATGAACAGCAGGCCCTCACGCAGGAACCACTGGGCCGGGGCCAGCTGGAAGGTGCGAGGCCCGGACAGCAGCACGTTGGCCAGGTAGGCCAGGCCGGTCAGCAGGTCGCTGAGGGTGATGTTGACCAGACAGTAATACACCCAGCGCCGGGAGCGCATGTGGGTGCCGATGGCCGCCAGGACCAGCGCATTCTCCAGCACCACCAGGCAGCCCGCCGCCACCGACAGGCCCCTCAGGGCCCCCAGGCTGCTGTCCTCCGGTTCCCCGCCATTGACGCGTCCAGCCAGCCGGCCGGAGTGGTTGTAGTGCAAGATGATCAGCTGGCTGTGTCCCCCGGCCGCCAGCCAGTAGCAGGACTCCAGGGCCACTGGGGACAGTGACCCCGTGGTGTTCATGGCCTCCCCTGGGGGCAGACTGAGGCCTTGGGGCAGGGTGGAGCCACAGCCTAAGCTGGGTTTCCTGTTGTTTGAAATTTCCTGTTATTCAAGGTGCCCCGGGGTGGGGGGGGGGGAAGCTGGGACTGGGAGGGGCCACCCCAGCGACGGTTGACCGCTCTGGGAAGCACCCTCCTACACACACACCCCTCCCCAGTTCTACCCCAGCCAGCCACTGTCCATCCTGGAAAGCAAGGGGGGAGGGGGTGGAGCTGCGGGTCACAGATGGGAAATGAAAGCCACCTGTCACCCTCTTCTGTCCTTGTCCCCCCAAGATGGTTGTGCGCTCCAAGCACACCCCTGACACACATGTCAGCACACACACACCCTCTCACCCCCCTCCCCCTACCATAACCAACTTGTTCTGCTAGGGGAAACTGAGGCTCTGTGAAGCAATGTGAATGCTGGGAGCTCGCTCATGGCCTCCAGCCCCTGTCCCTCCCCCCTGCAGGGAGCAGAAGTGGCTACCACCTCTGCTCCAGGACGTGGGAGACACAAGAACTGTGGGTGCACCCCCCCATTCTGTGTACACAGGCTTAAGGTGACTCAACCGAAGATTGCTATGGGTCTGAGGGGGAGGTGACCCTGGCCCCAGGGGCACACGTATGCCATTGATGGGGTCAGGTATCCCCCCCAAGAAGTAGATGCATCCTAGAGAGGACAGGATAAGAGAGGGCTAGAAGAGGCCAGGGGAAGACAAAGAGCACCCCAAGTTCCTGGCACTGCCATCCCTCCCCCCTTGTTTACTGTGCAGCTGTGGGCAGCTCAGTGACTCGACCAAACAGAAAGGTGGGGGAGAGAAGGGGTGGGGTGTGTGGCTGGGTAGTAACACACTGAGTTTCAACTCCAGCCCACAAAGATCACTGAGTCAGGAAGCAGCCCAGAGAAAGCCCAGATCTCAGACAGCCTTCCCCTAGATGGGGCCTGGATCCCTGACTGACCCCTGAGTCTGGCTGGATGTACGACCCAATGTAGACCCCTGTTCCTGGGCTGATTCCTATCCCCACGATGCAGCTGGGTGTCTCCCAGAGACAGTAGATTCAGGACAAGGGCGATGAGCCGTGGAAGGGAGCATCTGATGCAGCCTGGTGTGTAGCTGACTGTGACCTTATGTGAATTCCCTGCTGCCCTGGGGGAGGGACTTTGGGTGCGAGGACACACCATTTGTCAATCGATCGATCGAAGCAAATAGATTCCTGGCTTACACGTTTATTTGAGATAGAATTTTCCCCTAAGGCATAAGCTGTCTGTGAAATTGTTAGGTATCCCAAGCTAGCCTGGAACTAACCCCCCCCCCACAACTTACCTCCACCTCCCAAGTGCCAGGATTACTGACATGGCTACCAGTCCCAGCTTAACTCCCTTCACTGACAGTTATTAGCCCTTCCCTTCTCTGGCCCGGCTTGCTTGTCTGCCTGGAGCCATAAAGACTGCCAGCAAAGGCAGGTAGCGGTCAGGCCGCACACACCACTTGAAACAAACTGCGACTCCGGCTGTGGACAGCAGAGGGCACCACCTGCCGCTGCCGCTGGGGGCGGGCGGGCGGGCGGTGCCTCCATCCTTCCCCACACACTTCCTGAACTGTCTGGTACCCTGCAGCATCCCAGGCTTACCTTGGACTCTTCCCACCCTTGGACTCTCACCACTGCCCTTCAACACCCCCACGTCCCTTTTAGGGGTGCTATTTAGAATCCAAACAGCTCACTTTGGGCTTTTCATCATCCCAATGGAACCTAGAAGTCCCTGAAACCTCTTCCATCCAGGTCAGAGAGACAGAGAGACACAGAGCCAGGGACAGAGACAGAGACACACACACACAGAGAGAGAGTAGAGGGCCCACTGGGAGACAGGTGGTGGTGCAAAGTCCTTTTTATTAATTTTTCTTCCAGTCCTGGGGCTTGAATTCAGGGCCTGGGCACTGTCCCTGAGCTTCTTTTCCTCAAGGCTAGCTCTCTACCACTTGAGCCACAGCGCCACCCCTGTTTTTTTCTGTTTTCATGTGGTACTGAGGAATCAAATCAAGGGCTTCATGTATGCTAGGCAAGCACTCTACCACTAAGCCACCTTCCCAGCTCAGAGTCTTTCATTTGTATAAAGACTGTGCTGTGATTAGTGGCAGCCCACCCTCATTTGCATGAAGAACTATGATTGGTGCAGACAGGTTAGTCCTGCCCCCTTCCCTCCCTGACTATATAAGCAGACCTAACAGATACCACCTGGGGTGCAAGTTGATTCCTAGAGTTGCCTTATCAAGTGTAGTGAAGGCTTTTCCCTCCTGGGACTTTGTTTTGTTTTGCCAGTCCTGGGCACTGTCCCTGAGCTTCTTTTGCTCAAGGCTAGCGCTCTACCACTTGGCCACAGTGCCACTTCAGCTTTTTCTGTGTATGTGGTACTGAGGAATCGAACCCAGGGCTTCATGCAAGCTAGGCAAGCACCCTACTACTAAGCCACCTTCCCAGTCAGCCTTTTCCATTTTATTTTTTGTGGTGCCAGCTCTAGGGTTGAATTCAGGGCCTAGGCACTGTCTCTGAGCATTTGTGCTCAAAGATAGTACTCTAGAACTTGAGCCTCTGGCTCTACTTCCAGCTTTTTTTTTGGTGGTTAATTGGAGATAGGCGTCTCGTGGACGCTTGGGCTCTGGCTTTGAGCCATGATCCTCAGATCTCAGCCTCCTGAGTAGTTACAATTATAGGTGTGACCACTGGTGTCCAGCCATGAAGACTCTTATCTCCAATAAACCCCCCCTTCCCCCCAAAAAAGCCAGAGTGGCACTGTGGCTTAAGTAGTAAAGTACTAGCCTTAAGCAAAAGAAGCCCAGGGACAGAGCCTAGGCCCTGAGTTCAAGCTCCAGGACCAGGAGACAAACAAAAAACAACACTGTACTTCTATACATGTTGATAGGTTAAAAAGGTACATGACAGCCAGTTTCTGGTGGCTCACTGCACTACGCAGGAGGCTGAGATATGAGGATCATGAATCAAAGTCAGCCCAGGGAGGAAAGTCCCTGAGACTCCTATTACCAATTGGCCACCAAAAGTCCAGAAGGGGAGCTGTGGTGAAGCACAGCCTTGAGCAAAAAAGCTCAGGGGCAGGGCCCAGGTCCTGACAGTTCCATGTCCAAGGGGCAAGGAGCAAGTGGGGCAGGTATGGCTCAGGCTGCAGGGGCCTGGCTCACACAGTAGACCACAAAATCAGCATCTGCTCAGTCCTGAGGTCAAACCCCAGCACCAACAAAAGAACTGGTGAAGACGATGTTTCCTTAGTCATGCTGATTTCAGGACTTGGGGGTTAAGACTTCTCTGGTCTTCCTTGGTCAAACCCATCCCTCCTTTTAGTCAAATCATTGCAGACACGCGACAAGTCCTAGTTAGGGAATTTTCTAGAAAGTGCCAGGTGTGAATTGAACCTGAGCTGCCAAATGATCCATTGAACCCTTAATCCTGAGATCGGCCAGAGTGACCATATTTAGAAGCAAAGTGTTTGTACATAGAATCAAATTTTGATGGATCAGTAGGGTAGACCTACTGATCAATGTGACTATTTTGTAGGGGAGGGAAAAGTTCTGGGGTGTGGCTCAGTGGGGGAGCATATGCTTAACAGGACTGAGGCTCGAGAGAAAAACCCCACTCCTCACTCCCCAAAAGAGGAAAATCTGAACAAGGTTGCCCTGTGGATGATCCAGATTTCTGGTCTCCAAAACTAAATCAACGGTTCACACTGTAATACTAGCTACTCAGGAGGCTGAAATCTGAAGATCATGGTTCAAAGCTAGTCCTGGCAGAAAAGTCTGTGAGACTCTTATCTCCAATGAACCACCAGAAAAACTAGAAGTGGAGCTGTGGCTCAAAGTGGTAGAGGGCTAGCCTTGAGTGAAAAAGCTCAGGGACAATACTAGGCCCTAAGTTCAAGCCCTAGGACCGGCAAGAGAGAGGGGGTGGGGGGGAAGGAAGGAAGGAAGGAAGGAAGGAAGGAAGGAAGGAAGGAAGGAAGGAAGGAAGGAAGGAAGGAAGGAAGGAAGGAAGGAAGGAGCTGGAATGAAAATAAAAAGAGAAGAAAGAGGAAGGAGAGGAGGAGGAACGAGGTATTGTGACTGTTGGACTTCGAGAGTACACAGGAGCCGAGGAGTCTGCTCCTGAGACCCTCTAGTTAGGGAAAGGGGTTACTCCACATTCTGGCACAAAATGAGCAGAGTCCCACAAGTGGGCAGACAACAAGTAGAACTTTTTTTTTTCTTTCCTATAATGTCACCTTTCCACCATGCTGCCCCTCAGGAGAGATCAGGGTGGGGATGAGGGACAGATGCTAGTGGCAAGACACCCCCGAGAAACCACTCCTCTCCAGAGGACTGTCTTTAATGTGTACCCCCAACTGGGGTCCTGAAGAAGAGAGGGAATAAATACAGAAGGTGGGTGGGGTAGAGTGTGCCTTGATCCCAGCCTGTGAGCCTCAGTTCCCCTCCTCTGCAAGCCAGAGTAGGACGCTGAGGGCTTGGAGGCTCCCCAGGGGCAAGAAAAAGCCCTTCCGGCAGCAGTCTCCGACATTGTCCACCAGGGGGGGGAGGCGATATATGGAGTCCATCCTCTGGAAGTGTCCTGATGACGTCACCACAGCGCATCCAGGACTTCCTCCCGGTGACGTCATGGGAGGTGGGGCTCCAGGGAGACCACGCAGTTCTTGAACTGTTCTCCCGCGACTTCCTCCACCTCAGCCGTTGGCCATTTGGCGCCTTTCCCTCCACAGAGGACACGGCGGAGCCCTCGGACGTCTGGGGTGGCGAAAGGCAGAGCCGAGCAGGGACCAGGGGGTCGGTCCTGCCCGGGGCCCGCTGCCTGCCCC